TATAAAACACACACACACACACACACACACACACACATTATAGTAACCAACACATTGGTCCCAAAGTTTCTCCTACTCGTTATCAGTCCCTCTCTTTAAGGCACCCTTGCGAGAAAGCGGCATGCGCTTGAGTGAAATTATTGCCCAGGACTGAGGTCCGTTTTCTCTCGCTCGAAGCGGGGCACATCAGGAAGAAGAGAAAACTAGAAAACTTGGGCGTCGTCTGACAAACTCCTCAAACGTCTCCGTCTCGGGACGACAGTTGGACACTTGCAGCTAAATCCAGCCATGGCAGTAAGTACAAAGGCAGAATCGAAATTATTCGCGCTTTTTTGTGACTTAAACCTAATAAATGTATATATGTTTTAAATCAAAGAAAACCGCGCTTTTTTGTGACTTAAACCTAATAAATGTATATATTTATCATGTTTTAAAAAAAAATCGTCATGCAGGCAGAATTGAAGAAAACCGCGCTTCTTTGTGCTTTAAACCGAAATGTATAATATATGTTTAAAAAACCGGCATGCCCATGTTTCTAACTCAAATACTTCACAATTAATTAATCGACATATTATTTTTTTAAAATGTCTTTAATATATTTTGAAGAATATCCCCATTACACTGCTCCAATTTACTCGACATTATCATAATTTTATCATTGTATTTTGTCGAATATCCCCATAACACTGTTTCAATTTACTTGATATAATTTTATTATTGCATTTCGTCGAATTTCTCCATAACACTGTTTCAATTTACTCAGAAATCATTCCAGTTTTGTATTTTGACAAATGTCTCCATAACACTATTTGACTGTTCAATAGTTGTCTCTGAGTTCGAGGGAGAAAAAGATTTCAGGTGTTCACGAGGTGGAGGAAGAAAAGCCAGATACTAACATGAAACGAAGTAACAGTGTCCATAACGGTATATATTCTGAGTGTGGTGTGTTTCTTACTTGTATTATTTTTGTTAGTGTCGTTTTACAAAACCATAGTTTTAATTGTTGTTTTTGTTTAGAGAACATGATTTTCTGTTGTTGTCTGTCATATGACAAATCTGGTTTTCGGTTTCAAGATCTAGTGTCATCTAAATTACAAACTATTTTAGTTGGTGGGTTGTGTACAAAGTATGATTTTTCGGTAAGTGTGTCAGTTTATTAATACGATCTTCGGTTGGTGTGTCGGTTTACTAAACATAATTTTCGGTTGTGTTAGTCTGTGTCAGTTGAGTCAAATTGTGTCATTTGTGTCAGTTTATGTATCCGATTGTCGGTTGATGAGTCGGTGTATAAAACACGATTTTCGGTTGACGTGTAGATTTTCTGAATACTCTTTTCGGTTGGTGTTTCAAATCATATAACATTTTTTTCAGTAGGAGTGTCAGTCTAATTTTGGGACTTTATTAAGGACTGGAAAATCGGTAGCCTACACACAACACAAGTTCCGGCTGGCGTGTTGATCTTTAGTCTATTGCGTCACTTCGTTGACGTTTCGTGTTTTCGTTCTGCGGTGGAGTTTTTAGTTCCCCTACCTTCACCCTTAACTCCGTTATCAGTTATGCTTTCGCCAACACCTTTCAGTGTAGCCCCAAACTGTTGGTCTTTCCTGCTCCCTTTTCCATTGTTAAAGGCATGCGTCTTTCAATACTACAGATAAGCACAATGAATACGATAGCGGGTATTGGTGGCTCTGACTCTGAACAAGTGAGCAAACAGATAGGAACAACTGGGGCAGAGTTAAGAAATAGTACACTGTATCTACCCGTGGCGACAGAATTAAGAAGTAGCTCCTACCCATGACAACGGAGTAAAGAAGTAGCCTGGTAAATAACCGAGACAACATACCTTCTCGCGGCAACATAGTAGAGAAGTAGTACCTACCCGTGGCAACAGAGTTAAGAAGTAGTACCTACGAAGGATACCTACCTCTGACAACATAGTTATGAAGGATACCTACCTCTGACAACATAGTTAGGAAGGATACCTACCTCTGACAATATACTTAGGAAGGATACCTACCCGTAACACATAGTTAGGAAGGATACCTACCCATGGCAACATAGTGAGGAAGGATACCTACCCATGACAACATAGTTAGGAAGGATGCCTACCCATGACAACATAGTTAGGAAGGATGCCTACCCATGACAAAATAGTTAGGAAGGATAACTACCCATGATAACAGAGTTGTTAAGAAGTAGTACTTACCTGTGATAGCAAAGTTAAGGAATACAATGTAGTATCACCCCCTCCCCCTTCAACCACCAGCAATCTGTTTTCCCGTGCAGCAAAGTGATTCGTTGAATTTAATGTCATTAAGTCACCCGAGAGTGCCGAGTCAAGTGGGGTTACTCATTTTTTTCTTATTTCGATTACTGGTCTTTCTAGCATGAAGTGCCTGGCGATTTTTTAAAAGTACCCCCCCCCCCCCACACACACATACTGAAATACAAACGGATATAATTATACTATACTACTAAAAAAGTTAAGGACCATTTAGTGTGACTCGAAAACTTTGTTTTACGTACACATTTGTGTCGAGTAATTTTTAAGATGTGATGTCTTTTTCATTGTAATGCGCATTGAGCATCTTTTAGGAAATGGAAATGCGCAGTATAAATGCTATTTATTATTATTATTATTACTCGAATTATGAATCCAGCAAGTATTTAAAATGTCAATATGCTTGCTTTGTAGGATACTTTGATCCGCACTGGTGAAGCGTCTATTTAATCAAATAAGAATGAATTTTACATTGTTTGGGAACGTCGTCGCCGTCAAATGCACACATAGACGAAGGCCTTTCGGCTTTTTATCGCTCTAAAATCAGGCCATGGTGTGATTTTCAGGCAACAACAAACAAGCCCACACAAAGACAGCCAGATTTGAAACCAAATTGCTAAAACATAATGTCACAACTCAGTGATGTCGCCTCGAGTAAGATGTTTGGTTAATAATGATGCCTAAAAAATACAGTCGACCTCTCCTAACGGCAAACCTGTATAAGACAGTCACCTATACAAACGGCCTCTTTCAATTTCCTCTCAAGCGTATTTTTTTTTACATTATAATCACTATATCGTGTAAAACGGCCATCTGTTTAATGACGACCATACTCCTAATCGACAATTTGTAACCGTCTTAGACAGTTTCAACTGTATTCTGTTTTTAAAACGTCATCCTTCTTTGTGATTCTTGTGTGACTCACAATTCAAAAGAGAGAAAAGATAACTTACCTCTCACCAGGGCAGTGCTACTGACTGAAATTGTCTTTAGGCCATTCCCAAAAGGGAGATATCATCAAGTTCTTATGCACAGTAGAATTGTAAATGAGCTGATTTATCAATGCCATGCTCATAATGTGCCCGAACAACAAATGGGGAACTGCTGCTTTTTTTTTCCTCGTCATATTTCCTCTACTTCTTTTGCATGCTTGCCATCTCTTGTTGACTGCTCTTTCCGGGGTGTCTTGATATTCGAAGCAGACTTTGTACTGTAGAGGCTAGAGAGGTGAGCAGAGTAAGCCTGATTCCCGGTTTAGACTTCTCTGTTGACATCCACCCTCATATGACCTTACACAGTTGCAAGCCTTACTAAAACGAAACTAAAAGAGAGCTTTGGAGTTCATTTAAGATTTTCAAACAGTGATTAGAGATTACTTAGCTTCGAGCAACTCCTTCCGTTAGATAACGAAGACAGGAATATCAAATACGTCAAGAGTAGCAATGCTAGAAAATCGTAGTGGTCCTAAGTTTTTTGAGTAACACACACACACACACACACACACACACACACACACACACACACACACACACACACACACACACACACACACACACACACACACACACACACACACACACACACACACACACACACACACACACAGGCATGTATATAATATATGACAGTCCTCGTAAAAATCTGTCCGCCTAACCCAATTTAAGCATGTAACAGATTTTTTCCCCTCTGTAATTTGCATGCTTAGGAGCCCGTCTACGATGAAAATCGACTAAAGAACTGTTTGAACGTATATTTTTCTAAGCTTCTGTACCAGGTACCGTACTTTCCTAGCGCAGATTGGGGTGAAGGTAGATGAGGCCTGGACCAGCGGACGATAAACTAGCTTAGGCCTACACACTAGATCTACCTACATCCCGACTGCTCAGTGTTAGACTGTCATTCATCACTGTTCAAAATGGCTTATAGTAGAGTCTTGCACCCAGCAGTCCAGTTGATGCACACTAACACGATAGTTTTCTTATGGCGTATATTATAGTCTTGCACCCAGCAGTCCTGTTGATGCCCACTTACACGATGCAGTTTCCTTATACAGGGTGCCCACTACGGCTGGATCGGGCCGATCGCTCGACTCGATCGCCTGAAACTGAAAACAAACATGTTTGTTTTTGAGGCGACCGAGTCGGGGCCGATCTCATCCGTAGTGGGTATCCGTATTAGACACACACGTAAGCTCTGCAGTCTGAGTGGGAAAGTCACAAAGTTGGATTTCATTAGTGTAATCACTTGCTCCTCACACATGTTAAAGATACCAGACTATTAAATAAATCTGGCCCATTTTGCGGTCATTGTTTCTCTTCGCATTGACAGTATTTGAGGGGGCTCTCGTGGCCTGGAGGTTGAAGTGTTAGCCTCTCATTCAAAGGTCCCGGGTTCGATTCCGGGAAGCGACAGAAAAATTTTCTTCTCTAAAATTGTCTCCTTTCACATTCTTTCTTGCTCTCTTGTAATGCTCTATCGTCTGCTTTCGTCTCCTCTTTTTGCCCCCACCCCTCACCTCCTTTGTCCCCTCCTCTGGGCTCCTGACTCTTTCTGCAGCCTTTCTAATGCTACTCCTTGGCTCATTCTCACTGCTGTCTTTCAGCCACACCCCTCATCTTCTGGTAGGAAGGATCTACACTTTGCCTTCTCGGACAAGGGCGAAAAATCTCGGAGGGCCCGTGTGCAAGTTGAGCATGTTAAAAAACCCCCCAAACAAGCA